AGCCCAGTGGAAAAGCTCCATATCTGGGCCAGGCAGACTCTAGCCGGACTGCAAGTCCTTCTGTTTTCCCAGCTAGTGGGGGCAATTGTGGTGTAGGTGGTGGAGCCCTGGTCTGGGGACGTCGGTATTCCAATCCCAGCTCTGCCACAGGCAATGAGATCTTGGGCAAACAAGCAGCTTAGCTGCAAACCTCTGGCACCCCATCCGTCAGTGGGATGGCAGTCCCTCTCCTATGAACTGTAAGGCCTGCCTCTCAGGGAGCTCTCAGACAAGGTTACACATACCACACGCTGACTTCCTACACTACCCAGGTGGCATGCAGCCCGAGGATCCAGTTCAGAAAGGGAGGTAGAGGAGGGAAGGGTGGGAGTGATGGTTGATTGGGCATCACCGGGAGAGAAGGAAGCAGGGGGAGGGGCACCCAATCTGGGAACCGGAACAGAGTCGTGGTGATTCCACACATAGGCGCTGAGTCAGACGGGAACCCCCCAGCAGTTCTGACACCCTGGGCAGCCGCTTGACCTTTTCAACCTCAATTTCCTTATCTGTATGATGGGGGGTAACTACAGTCTCTCTCGAATAGGGCTGCTGTGAAAACTAAATGAGATTAGGTAAGGAGAGTGTCTGGGTCACACCCAGCCTTCGACAAGTGACATCTTGAGTCCCCTCAGACAGAGGTGGCTTAGCTCCTCTCAGGAGATCACCAGCAGAGGCTGCTGGGTAGTAGGCTTCTTCTTCCCTTCCCTTGGCCCACTTCCTGCTACACCTGGCCTATGGGGCCTGGGACAGCCGTGGAGACTCAGGAGTGACAAAGGCCCTGTTCAGAGATCCAATTCCTCTCCTCACTGATAGCAAGCAAGTGAGCCAGAGGCCCGATCCTGTTGGAAATGATTCTGCTTGCCCAGCTTGAGGGCTGGACCAGGAGGTACGCACAAACAGCCTGCCTGGAAAGGAATCACCAGCCCGGGGGTGTGCAGCAGCTGGCAGCAGAGAGAGCACTGGACAGTGAGTCAGGGCCCTGTGCAATGAGAGCATCTCTGCGTCACTCCTAGACCTCCCAGCGTTCCATAGGGTCACGTGAAACAGCAGGTGTGTAAGCGCTTTGAAAATAGAGACCTGCTGGCAGGCTCAGGTGGAGAGGCTGGCAGGGACGTATCCCTGAAACAGATAGAGGTTCCAGGTTCTGGAAGTCATCATCTGAAAGGGACTGACCTTTCTGTCCTTCAGTCTGGCATCCAGGATTTGCCAGCACCTTTCTCTCCAGCCTTTCTGCAGGCCCCCGTTTGCTCCAGAGACACAAATAGACACTAGGATCCGGCCTCTGGGTGTTTGCTTAGGCACCTCCCTCCCCTGGAACACCGGTTCCCAGGCTCCCCCTCCACTTGCGGAAATCCTGAATCCTCCATTCTCCAAAGGGATGTGTTCTCTGTGTCTACATCTCCAAAGGGATGTGTTCTCTGTATCTACTTCAGTTGGACCTCTCTTGGGGCATTGATGACGTTTTGGTTTCTGTTCAGTTTATATAAATCTTTCATCCCTTTCTAAAGATAGCTGTGGAAAGGACCACTTCCGTCTCCAACATCTCATTGGTAGGTTATGAGTCATGCGTGTGTGTGTGTGTTCAAGCACATGTGTGTGATAAATACAGTGGAAAGAACATGAATTTTCATGTCCAATAGATGTGGATTCCAATTCCCATGATGACTCTACCTGCTTAATCAGCTCATGCTACCCTATTTATTGATGCCAACTTGGAGTGACCTGGAGCAAATTAAGGAACTTGCTCGGTCTCAGCTCCTTCACTCATCAAGATGGAACCATGATGTCTATGTTGAAGGGTTGAGGCAAGAATTCCCAATGACGTGTGTATGTGCCTGCCTCTACATGGAGCTATATTAAACCATCTGAAGGGATGAGACTCAGTCCTGTTTTTGAGCCCTCCCTCAGGGCCCAGTTACAGCACTTCATGACTCACGTTAACACAGTCGTGAATATCCCATCACTTCTCTCCAGCTCCGATCAGCATGACATGCAGGTCCGGCCGCAGTGTGGCCCCCTGCTGGGCGCACTCCAGGCCCTGGGTACTCAGCTGCCCGGTCTTGCGGGCCTCAGTTTACAAGGAGCAATGGGAACCCTGTGTCAAGGCCTGGACAGGGACAGGCGTCTTGCTTCTTTGGTGAGTGCGACCTCATTGCTTGTCTGGAGATGTGTCAGAACCTGTGCTCAGTGAGGCCCAGCCTGGGCGCTGAGGACCTGGTCCTAAGGAGGTCAGCCCTCCCAGACCCCCACTGGGAGCAGGAAATATTGCTCACAACCAGAAGAAAGTGAGTTTCTATTCTTTAGGAAACTGAGTTAAAATATTCTGACTGTCTTTCTGCCATGTTAACCTTTCAGTGCTGCCTTTAAGGTTTCAGAAAGCAAATGATCTTCAAAATGATGTGAGTGTGTGTGTGTATGCATGTGTGTGTGTGTGTGTGTGTGTGTGTGTTCACTGATTTAGTACTGTTAAACCCGGTTACCTGGTCACCAACATTCTGATGTTGCAAAGTTGAGATACCTTCAAGTTCCAGACCAAAGATACCTGCTTGAGAAAGTGACTGAGGACCTCTGGAGTACGCAGAAGGGGCCAATCGATGGTGCTAGAGGTGCTGGCTTCATCCCTAACCAATTCTGTCACTTAACCTCTTTGAACCTCAGTAGCCTCATATCGAAAATGTGGATGAGAAGCTTTTTTTCTTGTCATTGTGACAGGGATGAAATGAAGTGCAATAATGTTTGGACGTGTTTTATAAACTTTTATGTGCTGTAAGAGATTAGTTAACACTTCACACTGTACTTCCTACACACACTGATGACCCTCCAGCAAGAGTCTCCAGGCCAGGGCAGCAGGCCACGGTTGGAGGATATACCCACGTGATGAGTTGGCCTCCAGCCGCTCCACCTGACCGCTTCTCATAGAGTTGGCTCTTCAGGGCATATGGTCACGGACCACCCTCATCAGAATTACCTAAAGAACTCACTAAGAATGCAGAGTCCCAGACCCTGGAAGTATGGCCCAAGAATCTAACTCTTTAGCCAGGACCCCAATTTGTCAGGTGATCCTGATAAATACTGAAGTATGAGAATCGTGGATCCAATAATGCTCATAGAAACGTGTTAACTCAGTCATTTATTCCACAAACAGTTACCTGGTCACCAGTCTCTCGCCAGGGGCTATTTGTGGGGACAAAGTCTTTGGGAGCAGGGGAGATGTGCAGGTGAACAGCTCACTCTGATGCCAAGTATCTAATGAAGATATATCCAACCCTGAAGTCTGTAGGCCACACGACAGGCCAAGAGATGAGGAGATTGCTGGCTTTCTGTTCCGTTTCCTCCTCTGCAGGGCAATGCTCCACACACAGTATCTTAGCTATTTCTCCCCAGAACTCTGAGACGTACAGAAAGACACTGAGACTCCTCGAGGTTCAGTAACTTGTGGGATGCTGTGAAGTCAGTGGTGTGTGAGTAAGTGTTCAGTCTCAGGGTGGGCAGGGGAGCCCTGATCCACACACCTTCCCCGGGGGATCCTGATAGAAGGACAGAAGGACCACAGTCCCTGCGCCACCTCCTGAGGGGGAGTTGGGACCCTGCCTGCCCAGAGTTCCTGGGGCCTTCACCAAGCCACCCTCCTTCCCTTTTTCCAAAGAGTTCCCGCATGGTATATCATTTAGGTCTCTTACAAACTGGAACTTGCTGCCTCACCAGACCCGGAGCAGGTGGTGTGTGGGCAGACAGATGGCCACAGTGGAACGCAGGCCGGGAGTGCTGAGTATCAGCCACACCAGGGCTCTGCTGAGACTGGCCGTGCACAAGCAGGCCTGTCCACCTGTGAGCGCTCGGGGTCAGATAAAGGCCTCTCCTGGCTGAGGGAACACCTAGGGGGTGTCACGGTGTGTCTCAGCGTCTCCCCCCCACAACGCCGCCGCTGGCTTGAGGATGCTGCTGAGGCCCCAGCTGAAGGGTGATGGGAAGAGGGCACCGTAAACCAAGCGCCCCCAGGAGTGTAGCAGCCGCCCTGGGGACAGGCGGGGGAGGCCTTGGAGATAGCTGGGGCCAGGGCCTTGATCATGGAGGTTGGAGAGATGTGCGTTCCTTCCCCTCTCAGCAAATGCAGCTTACCTGAGCTCCTCCAGCTCAGCCCAGAGAGGGAGAAGCATCAGCCCTGGGAGGCTCAGCTAGGACAGGTGGGGTAGGACCTCCAAGGTCTGGCCAGGCTGGCGCTCGGGCTGGGACGGGTGGCCCTGAGGCATGAAGGTGCCCAGACATCCCTCCCTTTTCTCAGGCAGACTTTCTTGACTCAGCCCGTCTTTGACACACGTAAGGAAGGATTCAGGGGTGGGGGTGGGGGACAGGAAGCTACAAAGAGCCAATCACCCTGCACCGGAGGCTTCAGGGCTGGTTCTTTCCGAGTGTGTGTGCGCGCACCCGCGCGCATCAGCGGGAATTCTGTGATAGAAGCAGCCAGATTCTGGAGAGAGAGAGAGAAGAGGAGAAGATTGAGAGTGGGAGAGACAGACGGATAGAACAGCAGTGGGAGAGAGAGAAGCGCCGCAGAGGGGAGACAGAGGGAGGGAGGGAGAGGGGGAGAGGGAAAGTGTAGGGGAGAGCAGAAAGGGAGAGCGAGCAGAGAGAGGGGAGGAGGAGAAAGCAAGGCTGTCGGAGAGGGCGCGGAGCGGAGCCGAAACGCGGAGGGAAGGGGCGAGGGCAGGGGTTGCAGAGGCGGAGCCGGGCAGCAAGCGCCCGCCCGCAATCCGGGATCCCAGGGCGCTCTAAGCTCTCGGTTCGGCGACGCACCGGCGCTTGCACGGGAGGTGGCGCGGGCGCCAGGGCTCGGCCGAGCGCGCAGGTGCCGGCCCGGGAGGTGGCGCGGGGCTCCGGGGTGGCCGCGCGCCCCCCGGGGGGCCATGGCGGCGGGGACTGGGGGGCGCGGGGCGGCGGCGCCGCCGAGGGGCTGAGCGGGGGGCGCCATGACGGCGCCGGGGTGCGGGCCCTGAGGGCCGGCGGCGGGCGCGCACCATGAACTCGTGGGACGCGGGCCTGGCGGGTCTGCTGGTGGGCACGATGGGCGTCTCGCTGCTGTCCAACGCGCTGGTACTGCTCTGCCTCCTGCACAGCGCCGACATCCGCCGCCAGGCGCCGGCGCTCTTCACCCTGAACCTCACGTGCGGCAACCTGCTGTGCACCGTGGTCAACATGCCGCTCACGCTGGCCGGCGTCGTGGCGCAGCGGCAGCCGGCCGGTGACCGCCTGTGCCGCCTGGCCGCCTTCCTCGACACCTTCCTGGCTGCCAACTCCATGCTCAGCATGGCCGCGCTCAGCATCGACCGCTGGGTGGCCGTGGTCTTCCCGCTGAGCTACCGCGCCAAGATGCGCCTCCGCGACGCCGCGCTCATGGTGGCCTACACGTGGCTGCACGCGCTCGCCTTCCCCGCCGCCGCGGTCGTCCTGTCCTGGCTCGGCTTCCACCAGCTGTACGCGTCCTGTACGCTGTGCAGCCGGAGGCCGGACGAGCGGCTGCGCTTCGCCGTCTTCACGGGTGCCTTCCATGCGCTCAGCTTCCTGCTCTCCTTCGTTGTGCTCTGCAGCACGTACTTCAAGGTGCTCAAGGTGGCCCGCTCCCACTGCAGACGCATCGACGTGATCACCATGCAGACGCTCGTGCTGCTCGTGGACATCCACCCCAGGTGAGGGCTCTGGGAAGGGCTGCGCGGACTCGGTGGGGGAGGGGTGTCTTTGTGGGAGGAAGGGGGTCCTCGTCGCCGCCAGGCTCTGATACGTGGCTTTGGGCAAGCCCCTTTAACACCGAGCCTCCTTTTCCTTTTTGGAAAACTGAGGTCGGGGGGAAAGGCCACCGTTGCCTGTCCCAAGGCAGGTGCTTAGAGCATCAGCAAAGCAGGACCACCAAAAACCGTGGGTGAAACAAATAGGTACATTTTTGAAGCATTAGGGTAGAGACCACAGAGGAGCCGAACTTTGCTGGACTTTATACTTATTTTATGCTTGTTTTCACTTTAAGTAGCATAGAGAAGGCAGTAATCTCTGTTCACTGCTCTAAATGGTTCTAGTCAGGCCCTGAGAGCGTGGCCTGGATGCTTAGGGCGCTCCCGAAGAGCTCTTCACACGGGAACGTGCTGCTCTGCGGGTCTTTCCTTTCTCTGGTGTCTGGCGCTGCCTCTGTCTCGTCCTGTGTGTGTGAGTCCTCGGGCTGCACCTTCCTCTGTGGGCCCTTAAAGGAGCATCTGAAGGGCTTTGAGGGGACGGGGGTGCTCTTCCTGCCTTCCCAGACAGCACTGTCCCGTGTCTCCTGGACTTGAAGCCTGGGAACCCCTGCAGAGGGAGACCGTCATCCTGAGGCTCCGGTGACAAAACCTGCCCACCTTCCACATTCACCTGGCCCCTGTTTCTCAGGAAGGCAGCTCAGGGCGGGCAGTTCAGGTTCACGTACCCCCCCGCCCCTGCCCCTGCCCCTGGGAAGTCCTGCCATCCTTCGGAGCCTCTGGGGAGAGAAGGGGGAGACCCTTAGCTGAGGTGTCCTGAGCTCACCTTGGCTTTCCCCCAGAGAAGAGGGGAATGGCTGCTGGTGCCCCAGACGCTAGAAGGGGGTTTTGGTGTCAAGATGGTGTGAAAAGTGAGGCAGGCAGAATGTATCAGTGTGGAGGAGGCCAGTGGCAGGGAGGGAGCTCAGCCCCTGTCGTGCGGATGCCTCCCCGGCCAGGGAGAAGCTTGTGGCTGAGGGGGACAGACCAGAGGGTCAGTGTGGCCAAGAGCTCCTTCAGTTCTGGGGTTTTTCTGCCCACGAGCAATACAAAGAGAAGACCTTGAACTTCACTGCGTCTGAACACAGGACATGTTCCCATGTGTTCCCATGTGTTCCCGTGTGTCCATTGTTCCCCTCAGGATGGCCCTTCCAGATTACGTGCTGGACCAAAGCTTCTAGTCACAGAACCTTCCTCCCAGAATTCTGTACAATATGTACATGTCAATGACACCAGGGCATATGAACCATGTGTGAAATTGTGTGAGCCTCACACACACAGTCCTATGTGTTCATATATCAACTGCATGGGTAACACATCATTCCATGTCACAGGTGTAGCCCTCCTGCACACTGACACAAAGGCATGCACGGACTCACTGCATGTGGCCATGCGTGGTTCAATGTCATTTAAGGATCACAGAGCTCTTCCCCTTCCTATCACCGTGGGGTGGGAGGACCTCGCTTTAGAAGGTGCATCATCCCTAGGACGTGCACGGGGACTGCTCTAGAAGCTGTAGGCAATGTTGTTTAACCCTCGGAACTTGGACAATTTCTGCAGTAAAGCCCGCTTTCCATGAGTCTAACAGCGGAGGAGGGAATGAGACGGGAAAGGAATCAGTTCCTATCTAGACCAGCATAAACCCCGTCCCCGCTCTCCCTCCAACTTCCAGAACAGGAGGGCGGTGGCTCCTTTTCAGCCCATTTAGGATGTAGGGTTGGCTCCAATCCTGCCGGTCTCTCACGGACTCCAGGCCAGACACTGCAGAGAGAGCTCCCAGGGGTGTCAGGAAAAGAGGCGGTTGCTCGGCTGCCCTCCGGTCCTCTCTTCTCTCCTCCACTTCCCTCCGGGGAAATTTGACTGCTTCTGAGCCCAGGAGGCTCTGAGGAGACCCTCTTCCCAGAGCCACGGACAGGGCCCTGCAGGGCCAAGGAGCAATGCCCGCCTACGCTGGGGAAAGGAAGGGCTTCTGGTGGGAGGATTGCCCTCGGCCAGTTCAGACAGGCCCCGCTGGCTGAGGGCTGGCCTGAGGTTATGCAGTAGTTGGCAGATGGGACAGCACTGCCCCATCAGTGACCACAGCCTGCCTTTCTCTGTGGGGTCGGTTCCCAGAGTGAGAGCCTGGGTGGTGGGCCACACGGGAGGGCACCAGCTCCCTGACAGTGGATCCACAGGCTTCTTCCTTGGCGTCTCCAAACTCTTCCTTCCCACAAATGAGAAACTGCAGAGCTAACTCGGGGGGGGGGGTGGCTGCCCCTAGGTCCCCCGAGCCTTAGGCACTAAGGTTTCAGGAAATTTCCTGGCCAGTTGGTGCTGGGAGCGGGGGGGTGGGGGGGGTGTGTGGGGGTCCAGTCCCAGATCAGCAGAAGCCAGGCTTCCTTATCCGGGCAGCCAGGGTGGCAGGTGGAGGTGACTTTGCTCACTGGAAGATTCACTTAACAGCCACCACACTGATGGCCTCCTGGGACTTAATTTTGAGTTCCCTGAGGCCCAGGCTGGCATTTGTCAAGAAGCTCCCTAGTGATGCCAGCTTCCTCCTGCAGAGGGTTAAATGCAGTGAGTGACAGGCTGGACTCTTCTGCTTTACCCCCCCCCACACACACACAAAAGGTCAGGGACCCTCTGCTCTAAATTAAATCAGGGACCCTGAGAGACGTCGCCCACTCCTGCCTTTCTGCGGTGGTTTCTCGAGTTACTACAATCATAAAGGAACTGGGAACCCACCTGGTCTCCAACCGCTCAGTGTGCTTGGTTCAGTTCTCCCAAACCACAACTCCAGACCAATTATAACCAGATCCTCTCCCTGGTGCCACCAGAGACATAGAAGGGGAGCCCGGACATTGGTGCTGCAGCCCTTCTCTCCCCGTCCAGCTGAGGGCGCCACTCAACAGCACAGGTTAATGACTTCAGACTAGACTGTTGGTGAAGCACACTCATTCTTGTGATCAAGGGCTACAGGGGGCTGGCTGAGTGCCAAGCCGGAGGGTGTCAGAATTGTGCCATAGTAGATGGAGGGGTTCTCACTGTGCCCTTGACTTTGCCAGTGATGAAGTTGGGAGCCCCAAGGAAGGGGGACACTTGCCGTATTTGATAGATCTGGACTGTGGCTTCACCCAAGACTCACACCTAGGTCTGCTCCTAAGGTTTACGGATGGGGCGATAGTGCCAGTGGAGTTTCACAAACCATCCACATGAATAGTTAGGATTTCTAAATTCAGCTTACAAACTGTTAAATGAAATATGTTCTATCCTCCTACTTTGAGAAGTATACATTTATAACACTTGGCAAATTTAGAGTTCTCGGGCTCCTTGGAGTGCAGCCTTGTACATGGCAGGGGGAGCTGAGCTGGCCCCATGCCACAGCCCACCTCACCCCCCCGTCCCGACACCCCAGCATGGAAAGGGGCCTCCTCACACAAAGTGGACACTGCAGGCTATGCCTCCATGTGTTACTCACAGATGTCTCCCCTCCGGTCTCAAGCCAAGCACGCAGGTGGCACAGCCCTTCCTCAGGAGGATGGGCCCAGGGAAGATGCCTGTGCACTTTCTGGAAGCAGGATCAGGGCATTTGGGCAAAGAATTCCGTGTCCCACATACCTAGAGCTTGGTCTAGAATGGAGGATGTGGGTTCTGGGTGGGCACATCCCCTTGGCCCTGTGAAGTCTTCATTACGTGGGGAGGTGTGGGTCCCTCAGTACCCAGGGCCCAGGACAGGGCGCCTCTGGCCAGGTCGAGGGCAAGACTGCTTACATCAGTCCGAACCCCAAACTCAAGGCTCTTTGCCACCAATCGGTCAGCTCGTTCCTTTGTCTTTTGTTTCATTCTCCAAAACGCCAGAAAGCAAATCTGGATGTCTCTCTGAGTACTCGAGAGCGTGGCTCTCGACTGGCTACCGTCCTCTGGAGATCAGTCAGGACCCAGACCCACCGTCCTGTAACCACAATCGCCTCATTTACTGACTTTCCAGATATTCCCAGTATCATCCGTCCCTCTGCTCTATTACGGAAGCCTCCTGGGGAACATGTCTTTGACCCTACATGTCACAGTGCTGGAGGGCTCATCTCCTTTTGGCTCAAGGAAACTCCGTGTCTCGTCTCGGCCCTGGGGTCACCCCACACGGGTACAGTGCTTGCACTCTGAGCAAACGAACCCGGGCAGGAGAGTTTTGGGCCTCTCACCCTCTCACTGCAGACTCTGCTGGGGAGTCCAAGGACTCCAGCTGCCACCATCAGGCCCGGGAATATCTGGGCGTTAGCGTAGCTAGACACAGCGTGCCCATGGCTCAGTGACCCAATGGGGGGACACCCCAGATTTTGGTGTCAGGAGACCTGGAAGGAGTCCTGGTCTGTCTTGAACTTACTTTGCAACCCTGGGCATGGCATAAACCTTTCTGGCTCTCCATGTCCTCTTCTGCAAGTATGTACAATGACTGCTTACAGGGCTGCGAGAGTTCAAGGAGCTCAGTTTTGCAAAGCTACGGCGGGAAATAAATGACAGCAAGGGCAAAGTGATTTTATTATGTTGTTTCCGGAGCTGGTGAGCTGCTCTCGTTCTGGGCTTAAACAATACTAATGATAAGCCGGAGAGCTGCACTGCTCCCCTCGGAGCCTGGGAGACTGCCCTGCTGTCCTCTTGCTGCCGCCTCCCTGGTCTCACCTGGAAACGGGGGTGGGGGGCACTGGGCACAGAAGTTGGGTCCATTCCCTTCCTTTGCAGGAGTTCAGGGGTGCAGCCACATGGTTCCAGACTGGGTGTCAGGAACTGGTGCTAGCCCTGCCTGCAGCCCACTCTCCAGGTGGGCAAGTCCCTGTCTTCTTCGAGCCTCAGTTTCCCCATCTGTGAGCTGGGTTGGGTGGGTGAGAGCATCTTTCATACTACACAGGACTGTAGAGCCTAGCCAGCCCGCCCCAGAGCAGACACATGACCAGGCCCACGTGGATGTTAGCCAGGCGCAGCACCCATCCCACACACCCGCTGTGCTCCCACAGCACGCCAGGTGCCATTGAAATTAGGGAATAGCATCCATCGCGCCCTGGAGACCCAGAGAGGGTCACAGAACCAGCATGAGAGCCCAGACTCAAGCTCAGACCTTGTCTGGCACAGTTCCTGGTCGCAGCTCTCCCTCTCTCCCTCCCTCCCTCTCTCTCTCTCTCTCTCTCCCCCTCCCAGCTACCCTTGTAAATGCAGCAAGAGAATTTTTGCCGTGGGAGGGATCCCAGTGGTTTGGGGGTTCAAGGTAGTGCTGGAACATAGTCGTTGTTTTATAAATATATGCTGAATGAATAATAATTACATCTGCACTTAAGTGCTTACTCTGAGTCAGCACTGTCCTAGGTACTTTCTGGGTGTTAACTCAGTTAATCTCAACAGAACCCTACAGATAGGTACCCGTACGATCCTCATTTTAGAGGTGGGGAAGCTGATGCTCAGAGAGGCTGGGTAACTTGCCTAAGGCCACACGACAAGTACGTGGGGAGGCCTGGATTTGAACCCAGAGGTCTGGCTCTGGCACTGCTCGCATGCTTACCACTTCCCTGTCAACCAGACAGGGCTCATGGAAGTGTGCATGGCCTGACAGCCACTGACGAGTCTTGCTTTGTCTGAAAAGCTCAAGATTTTTAAGTCTCGCTTTAAAAAATCTATTCTAGAGCAGATTTCTACTATCATCTCTTTTGAGAAGGTCACTTAAAAATGATTGAGTCTTAATTTTCCTAAGATGTTTTTAAGGGTTGTTCATTAATTCAAAGACATACACTCATTAGGTGTTTTCTGGGTGTAAGGTGTTGAGCTTTGTACTGTGGGAACCCAAAGAAGGAATGTGTGTGCAGAGTGCTTGCTATTTAATCCTTCTCTCCTGTACAAAGCTTTGCAGGAACAAATAAAATTAATTTCCTGTAGGATTTTACAGCATAGAAGAGTGACATTGATTATTCTAGCCTCTAAAGTGGCCGTTTTATTCCTGTAGAGTCACTGAAATGTTTCTGTTTATCCTTCTGAAGACCTTCAAAGCTTTAACCAACATCTGTCTTTAAATATTCCTCAGGGCTTTGGGGCAGGATTGTCTGGTGTGGCAGGGTGCAGGGCTGCTTCTCCTGGGGAGACAGCTGAGTCCTCAGACCCTCAGCAGGAACCCAAGTCCCTCCTCGAGGGCAGGGGCCGGGGAGGGCAGAGGAAGGTCCTCACTCCTTAAGAACTTGGTAGCTGGTGAGTCACTTCAATCCCTGATAAATGGTAGCTCTAGTTATAGTCATAACTATGAAATATTCCACAGATAAGTGAGGAACCAAATTCAGAGAGGTTGAGTGACTTTCTTGAGGCCACACAGCTATGAGGGCACAGCTGGGACTAGGACACATAGCCAGCACTTGTTCAGTCCTCAGGGTTATTCTAAATGTCTGGGAAATGGATAACATGGTCAGGGCCACAGACTGGAGGAGGGCCCGGCCCCAGTGCACCACCAGTTTCCCTCGTGTCCCCTTGATTCATTTACGATGACTTTGGTGCTCATTTTCGAGGAGATGCCCGGAATGCTGTGCTCCTCTCGTGGGGTGAGTGTACCGTGGTGCCTCAGGACACCCAGCTCATGCCCCAAATCTCCAGCAATTCCTACATGGATTGCACTGAGAGTTTTGGGGGAAGTATTTTAATATTAAACAAGCAGTCCTGTGTCATGGAGAATGTGCCAGACACGCTGCTAGGTTGATCAGTGTCCTGATTTGCCTGGGACCGCAAGGGCTCCCAGGATGTGGGACTTTGAGTTTGAAAACCAAAACCGTCTCAGGCAAACCAAGATGAGTTGGGCACCTCACTGAACACAGACCTCCAGGGTGGGGACCTAAGCCTTCTCTCCACGCCACCTGTGTTGTGCGTATGTCACAAGAGCCACGGGACTTTGGGAGAGGACACTGCAGACACCCGATGTAAATGGAAGGGGAGGAGACTTAAGACTGATTCTTGCTGTGTGGCTTTAGGCAAAGTCGCCCCTCTGTCCCCGCCCCTCAGCTTGTATTTTTCAGATTTTCTGAATGAGGTGATGCCCCAGTGCCTCCCCAGGGATGTGTGATGACCCCAGTGAATTGACAGATGACACTCAAGGCTCCAGAGTCAGATGGCCTGGGTTCAGCTACTGCCATCACTTAGGGAGACCAGCCATCCTGGGTTGCCCGAGATGGAGGGGGGATCCTCAGACGCAGGCCCTTCTGTTTCTAAAACCAGGACGGTCCTGTGTAAACCATCCAGTCTGCAGGACTTGTAGTGCTAAAACTGGGACAGTGCTGGTTATCCGGGACAAGTTGGTCACCCTACTGCCACCCCTCACCAGATCACTGTGTGATCCTGAGCCAGTTGCTTAACCCCTCTGTGCCTCAATCTCCCTCCTTACCTGAAAACATGAAGATTACAATTGTATCAGTCCTTTGCTTATAGAGATGTGAGTATCAAGCAACAAATGCATATGAACCCCTATCACAGTATCTAAGATGGCACATATTAAAGACTCAAGAAATGTGAGTTATTAATCTTAGCTATTAGAAATTAATTCATAATGTTAGTCATGAGTAAGACAATTTCAGCCAGTATGAAATCTGTCTTTACTGGGCCAGACTCCAGTTCCCAACTCTCTAAGTTCCTGGAAAGACACAAGTCAAGGGAAGAAAACATCCTGCAAGAATTTCAGGGGGCTTCAGTCCAAACTAACATAGCATTGTCCCTCTGTGATCAGGAATCGGATAAAGAAGAGTCTCGATTAAGTATTAAAACGACAGTTCTTGTGGAAGGAAGGGGAGGCTGCCCTGGCGTTCGTGCTGCTCACGGACCTGGCTTCTGTTGAACAGACTGACCTAATTGCGGTGCCAGGTCACTGCAGCCCAAGCCTGTCTCTGCCAAGTTATCGTCACTCCTGGGCAACCCTGTCCACGGTCCTCCTCCCCGTCCAGTTTTGGAATCATATGATTTATTTGAAAAGTAAACAGTAGAAACACATGCCCACGTTGGGCCCCATGGTCTGGAGCATGTGAATCCTTACGGCCGGGCTCACCTTTACGTGCGTGCGCCTTGGCCGTGGAAATGGACAGACTGGCTGTTGCTTGTGCATTTCCCCATGGCTGCAGGAAAAGGGTTGCAAGAACCACTGCTCCCAGATGGCGTGAGATGTCAGGTCTCGAAAGGCCGGGAGCAGAGTGGAGTCAGGAGCAGGGTGTGGTTAGAGGCGTAGGTGGCCATCCGCGGAGCTGTGGTCCCGATTCTCCAGGGACCTGGCCGTCCCGTGGCTTCACCGAGCCTCGTCTGTGAACAAATCAAGTGACTTCTCCTTCAATCACCTCATAATGCGTTACCTGTAGCTCCGGGCAGGGCTGAGGCTTTGGGATGGAAGAAACAGGGCTGAAGGTGCGGAGGAAAGGAAGCCCTGGGCCACACTGCACACAGAGTCCAGGCCACCCCAGCTGGAGAGGACCAGCTTTCAGTCACATGGACACGGGTTCAAGTCCCGCCTCCACTTACCAGCTGAGCAAATCATTTGGCCTCACTGTATTCATGGTCTTCATTGTAAGACAGGGCAGGTAAAATCCACCTGGCAGGCTCAACTGCGGTAAAGATAAGAATTAGATATTACTTAGGGAGTGTGGACTCGGGCTGGCCCATAGCACGTGATGAGTGAAGGATATGAGTACCAATAATGAGTCTATATTCGCACTTGCTTGGGTACCGTGCTAATCGCTTCAGGTGCTTCAAGCATTTAATTCTCAGCGCAGCCCTTTGCGACGTCTCATTACATTAGTGTCCACACTTTACAGACGATGACCCTGAGGCTTAGTGATGCCACACAGGTGCCCAAGGTCACGTGCCTACAGCTCAGACTTGAGCTCAGGTCTTTCTGGCTCCATGGTCAAGTTCCTACACTCGCGGCCACTGCCTGCGTGTACAAATAGTAACTCGCTGTGACCTGGCAGGCCCCCCCCCATGACTCACCTGACCATGACTGCACTTTTTTCTCTCTCACACGCAGCGTGCGGGAACGCTGTCTAGAGGAGCAGAAGAGGCGGCGGCAACGCGCCACCAAGAAAATCAGCACCTTCATAGGCACCTTCCTCGTGTGCTTCGCACCCTACGTGATCACCAGGTGAGCTTGGCGAGCGGGACACGGGCTTGGGGCAAGTGGGGCGGGCACGGGGCTCTGGAGAGCGAAGCAGGGCCTGCGTGGCCTTTAGCCGTGGCCAGCCTTGCTTGGCCACATGTCTTCCAGAGGCTGGATCAGGGGATGAGAGCGAACTTGACAGGTTTAGTGAGAAGGGCACACACTTTTTCTCTTCAGCCTCAAATTCTTTTGGATTAGACTCCGGACCGAAAGGCAGTGAGACTCTCTCCCACTTGATCTCCAAATCACATCGTTCTAACCGTCAGCCCGCAACCGCAGGAGACCCGAAAGGAGAGGACAGGAGAGAAAAGACAGGGGATAGCACCCTGCAGGGACTGGGTTCTTACTGCCCACTGAGTGCAGGAAAGCCCAGCTCGGCATCCTCAGCCCGGACACCCTGCAGAGCCAGTGCCACGTGCCACCTGTACAGGGACCAGGGAGCATGCTGCATGCCCAGCCAGGTGGGCCCACCTGTCCCACGGCTCCAGGGATCTGCCCCTGTTAGTTCAGGCAGTGTGAGCTTGTCACGTTCTCTCCCAATCCCAACCCCCCATGCCGGCCAAGGTTGCAGTGCGCTGGCCTCAGGGCTGTACGTTCCAGAAGCCAACCTGCTCCAGCTACAGAATTTTCCTCACACGTTGAAGCCAGCAAAAAAAAAATATATATATATATATATATATATATCACCCACTCAGTTTTGCTCACTGGAGGGGAAAATACCCACACAAATTAGTATCCAGAATGGCTTAGCTGTTTGGGAAGGTGACAATAAAAAGGACTTTGTTGTTCTTTTAGGAGGTGGATGTGGAGCCTGAGAAGCAGGATCTGTGCAGGGTTTTGTGTGCACGCGCGTGCCTCTGTATGAAAGAGAGAGCGCACGGCCCATCCCCCTGCATCCCCCGGCATCCTCAGTTGTCAGGGACATGGAAGGGACGCCCTGCCTCAGCGTCCCCCAGAGTCGCGCTCTGGAGAGGAGGGTCTCAATGTGCCTAGGTCCCCCTGTCTTTCTCTGTCTCTACTCATACTGAGCTGAAGCCTGGTCCCCCATAGCTCCACCTATGCCCCCCATCCTGCTTTCTGCAGCCCAGGAGAATGTCTGTCCTCTACTAACAGAGGCCCTGCCAATTTGCAGACAGTGAGCTGGGGTTCCCCAGAGCAGCCCCCATTCCCCAGACACTACAACCCCGGAGTGTCTGTCACTGTCTTTTCTGTGCATGCCACTCTCTCCGGGGGAAAGCCAGGGGGCCTGCATTTCACTTTAAACATAGGACATAGGACTGTCTGCAGGTCTCTTCGTGGGTCTGCCCCAGGCCGAGCAGAGCCATCAATTCTTCCTTCTAGAACTGCCCGCTAGACCTCAGCGCTCCTGACATTTCTCCATGGGAGACTGTCCTGCACGTCGTAGGATGTTAGCAGCATCTCTGTCGTCTACCCACTACCCGCCAGCAGCACCTCTTCCCTCCTGCTCCCCAGTTTTGACAACTAGAAAATCTAGTCAACCTGGGGACCAGAATCACCCCCGGGTGAGAGCCCCTGGTCTAGGCCCGCCACGTCCGGCCAGGACGCCGAATACCATGTCATAGCATCTGATAGGGAAGTGTCCCAGGCTTCTGAGGCAGGAGCGAGTGAAGTGGGCTTGGCTCTGCAGGGGGACAATCCCAGCAGGAGGGACAGCATGAGCCAGGTCTAGAGCCCTGCAAGGGAGCCATCAGCCACAGGTCCCTTTGAAGCACTTGAACATGGCTTGTCCAAACTGAGATGTGCCGTAGGTGTAACATGCACACTGGGTTTCCAAGGCTTAGCATGACTGTATATATATATATATATATATAATTAAAACTCTTTATATTGATTCCATAGTGAAATGGTGAAATCTTGGATATATTGGGTTAAATAAGATTTGTAATTAAAATTAATTTCACGGTTTCTTTTCCCACCTGTGGCTCACCTTCTCTTTCTGTTGGGCAGGGCTGGCCTGTAGTCAGGGAATCTGGGGTCTAGGTGTGCCGATGCCCTTGCTCCCAGCTCCTTTTTTCCCTTGGCCTCTAGCTGCCCGTATCATCCTTTTCTGACCAGGAACCCATTGGTTCCCAGGATCGCCCTTCCGGCCGCGCTGCAAGAGTGCTCAGAAGTCCCCCCCTCCCTCCTCCCCTGTCCAGCGCCCTGCTCCATGTTGGAGTTTCTAAGCAGTGGCCAAATCAGTGTCTTCCTCTGTGGGGTCAGGTGCATTGAGGCAGGAGTCCTCAGAGGGTCTGAATGAGGGGACATCAGGTCCCAACGCTGGGTGACAGTGTTGCGGCAGAAGGTCCTTGTGCTTAATCCTCTTGAAATCACACCCCTCTGGGACCACCTCCCTCTGTCCACACCCCCATACCCCCCCTGCCGTGACCGCGGGGAGAAGAGATTCTGAGGAGGTGCCTAGTCTCTGTGGCAGCTGGGCCCCCAGGCACACCCCAGGGAGATGGACACCTGTGAACTTGCTCTTTGCATGCAGGGGAGCCCCCTGGGCTCCAGGTGTGTGCTGGGCACGGCCAGGATCACACCAGAGCTACACTTCCACCACCAGGGCAGCAAAACTGCCAAACAGGGTGGGCTGGGGTGGGGGTGAGGCAGGATTTGCTCTGACACCCACCTCCAAGGAGCCTGACCCAAACTCGCCCATCGTACGCTGAGTCCGTGCTGAGAAGCACGCAGTGACTGTGGGGGGAAATCAGCATCTAGTAAGGAACCCATAAAACAACCCATGCAAGGCGTTCACCCTGGTATATCCTGCTGTCGCCAGCACTGGGGTCGGGACTGTGCACACTCTGGCCAGCAGTTGATCCTCCTGCTGTTCTCAAGCTGGTTTCCGAGTGCGGACAAAATCACCCCAGTCTCAGAAGAAGCTGAAATCAGACTCTGCTCTGGAAACGTAGTTGAGAATTTAACGTCTTGCAGGAATTGATTCCTTATGGAGAACCTAGAGCTGTGGCTTATGGAAGTAGAAGTTTCCTTAGCAGTGTCTCATCCCAGGAGGGGAGCTAATTGCAGGCCACCTGGGGTCCACTGCCTGGGGCAAGCCTGCGCAGTGTCCATAGGGATTCTGAAGCCAATCCAGTGAGTGACTCAGCCAGGGTTCCAGCCCGGGTCCGCCTGGAGCCAAAGCCCACGCGTGGGGCCCCTTGCCCTGCACTGTTCTGCTTCTCTGAGGGCGTGGGGGTTCCCTCCCAGAGGATATAGGAGGGCACTTTGTGCCATGACCCCCTCAGAACCAGGAAGCTGCAGCTTCTGAGATGATAAGGTCAAGGTGTTCAGGTGTCACTTAAATGCCTCACTGAGCTGTCAGTGCAGAAACCGCTATTTCCCGAGGCTCCCCAGGGACAACCTCTATCCAAGCAGCCCGCCTTGCTACTCCCCCCATTGGAGCCTTATAGGTGGAGACGTGCACAAGCATGTGGGTTCACGTCAGGCCAACCGTGGGGAATGCTGGGAGCTGGCAGAATCAGAACGTCGAGAGAGAGAAGGGGCTTGTGCTGTGACACCTGCCGTCCCTCTAAGTTGATCAGGAAGGTCCGGCTGGCAGGGAGGAGGTCCCTTCTCTTTATTCCCATTCTATTCACATCTGCCTGATAACTTTCTCAGACTGGGAAGCAGCATTCTTGGGTCAAGAACCATTCAAGTCTTCCAGTAGATTCTCAGGCTTCCCTTACTGGAGAACGTGGAGTGTTTATAACCATACCTATCACTCATTCGACACTTGTAATGTACCCAGGAGGTACCAGTACATACCTGATCGCACCTAGTACAGCTGTCCTGCAAGGTGAGTGCTAGAGTCCTCATCTTACTGAGGGTCAGCGAGGTGAGATGAGTGGCCCAAGGCCACAGGAGTAGCAACTGGCAGAACCAAGGGTTAAAGGTCAGTGCCAGGTCTGTTGGCAATAATTTAGCCCTGTGGGCATGTTACATCTCCAAAGCCTGGGGACCAGGCACTGAAAATGTAGAAATGCTTATCTGCAGGCTTTTGATCCAACTTCCTATGCCCAGGCATCTTGGCATGAACCCAGACATAGTACCCAGCCTCCTGGGGGTAAAGGCAGGTAGGTGAGTGAGTTCTTTCACCAGAAGCAGCGGTGGGTTCGCGTGGAGTCACCTCTGACCTCCCACCTGGCTGACAGCAACTCGTGTGGACCCGGAGTGGGGCTCAGAGGCCATCAATGCTGGCAACTGGAGCCATCGTCAGACTCGGTGGACTAACGCTGACCATGAAGCCAACACCTCTCAGAAAGACAGTTCCCCCAACTGCACCAACCCGCCAAAGAGCCCCTTTAACCTGCACTTTGTGGCCTGTCAGATGACAGAGGGACACTTTGGCAACCTCCACCCTCACTCTTAATAGGAGTCACTACCTTCTATTCACACACTCACACCGGTTCCCAGGTCCTCAAAGCCCTAGTGGGTCACATCGGGCTCTTTCCAGAGTGTCTGAGCTTGGTCTGAGGATCTGCAAGACATTCGCCTCCAAAAGCTCTAATTACGTTTTTCTGAATTAAAACCTGCACGTCTAGAAGCATGTGTGAGGCAATATCTCTGCAGCGGTTCAGGCTTACAAATAATTACGGTTGTCCCAGATCATCGGAGTGGGGCTTTGAGGCATTTTTGGATCAGACATCACCATTATTGTGGCTTTTCCGAGTCACAGAATTATGTCAGCGGGGTTTAATATGCAGGTGGCTGTCTGGTGTTAATATTCTCTTAATAAAATGCCTTTTCCCTGCTAATGTCTCATGAACATTTAAAACTCCAGCTTATTACTTACAGCTCTTCAAATATGCAGACCGGATTCTCCAGAAGTCTTCTTGGGAAGACACTGGGCTTGCTTCCCAAAAGCTATTCTGTGGCCCACGTTGCATTTGGTGTACAGCATGTGTGTGTGTGTGCGTGTGTGTGTGGGGGGGGGGGGGCAGCAGGGAGAGATGATGGACGCACAGGAGGTGTAAAGAAGGGGTGTGGATTTACCTCTTTAAATTCAAGGGTTGACAGTAAAGGCCTTGACTGCCCCCTGGAACCGAGTCAAGGAGCTGGGAGGGGCAGCCTGGCACCAGGAGGGCCTGTGGTCTCTGGTGCCCACAGTCCAGGGTTCAAATCCTGGCTCTTCTATGTCCAGGCCATGTGGCCTTGGCCCGTCACTTTGCCTGGGTTCCTCCTCTGTAGTGTGAAGCACAAGCAACACCGTGGGGTTGGGTGGGAGGTGCTTGAGACAATGTTTGTCAAGCGGCTGCCAAAGCCCTGAGCCTCTGGGGACACAGAGGAGGAGCTGGGTCTGGGGCTACTGGTATTACGGGTCTTGTTCTCATCCCCAGAATTTAGTTTCTTTGGAGAGTCCATTGTTGAGCAGAATTGAGACATTGGTTTCTCTGGGGGGTCCGAGAATGCCTGAGAGTTCTGGCAAGAGTACCCCGTCTTCCTCCCGGGACCAGGAGGGTCAGGCCGGCAGGGGCGGGTGAGAGGTCCCTGTGGCTGAGGGGCCAGGGAGCCGGCTTCCTGGCCTGTCAGCCCTCTGCTGTGACAGCCAGCACAGAGACTTCCCGTGACCCAGATCAGAGGGCCCTGTGCTAAGAGAAAGGACATGGCTCCTTGGAGGAGTCCCCCTGAACAAATACAGAGCTACGGGGTGCAGAGGTGGGGCAGACACATAGGACTTGGGGTGGCGGGAGAGGATGGGTATCTGTTCTCTGTCACTCTGAGTCAGAAAAATACCCATGTCTGTGCTCTGCTTCCGATGTGGTCCCAGGCCACACCCCGCAGCATTTCACACCTCCCACCCCGGCCAGGCTCTGACCAGACGTCCCCAGGTGCTCACAGCGCATCTCTGAACCACCTGCGTCAGAGTCACCTGAGATGCTTGAGAAAGCAGACTCCTGCCCTGGCTTCCCCTGCCCTTGTCCTCCCCCCATCAACCCTCCGCCTGACCTCTCAGCCCAGGGGATCCTCGGGGGAGCTGTGTCAGGCTGTCTGGGGCAGGCATGTGTGCATTGTGAGCACGGAAGCATAAATGTTTCCCCCTGAACGGAGCCTGATGGCTGAGGTTTTTCCAGCACATACCTCAGGCGGTGCATGGAAAGTCACCTTGGTGCTGAATGGAAGGTGAGGGCAGGGGGCAGGGAGTGCTGGTTGCAGGGGGGGGGGGGGGGGGGGGGGGTGGGAAGGGGGGGGGGGGGGGAACTCTGCTTCCCGGAGGGCAGGGAGGGGGCAGGGTCTACCCTTAGTACTCACGGGCTCCAGGAACTCCATGGGGCTTGGTGCCATGTTGGTGTTATGACCAGGGACCCACGAACAACCAGATCCTGCCTAACAACCCCCTGCATCCCCACGGGGTTCCTTAGCGGATGTGGATCTATTTCCCAGCACTGCCGCCATAACTAGCTTCCACTAAGTGGCTTAAACAATAGAAATGTATGGCCTCAGTTCTGGAGGCTGGAAGTCCAAGATCAAGGTGTTGGCAGGGTGGTTCCTTCTGAGCCTGTGAGGGAGAGTCTCTTCCAGGCCTCCCCCGAGTTTCTGATGGTGAACTTGCAATCTTTAGTGTTCCTTGGCTTCTAGAAGCATCACCCCATCTCTGCCGTCATCCTTTTGTGGCATTCTCTTGGCGTGCATCTGTGTCCAAACTCCCCCCTTTTATAAGGGCACGGTCACATTGGGTTAGGGGCCCACCGTTCTCCATTAGGACCTCACCTTAACTAATTACATCTGCAACTACCCTATTTTCCAAATAAGATCACATTCTGAGGTGCTGGGGGTTAGGACCTCAACACATGAATTTGGGGAGACATAGTTCAACCTACAGCAGGGAGCTATAGCAAAAGGAAACAAAGTCTCATTTTATTAACACCTGAGCCCAATAACCCCTAAACGCAGGGGTCTTGGGGCAGAGCTGGGGGCAGGGGCAGGAGAGGGGAGTTCAATAATCCACCATGATTCGTAGCAAAGAGAGAAGAGGCAGGGCGTGGCAGGCACCTAGCAGCACACGGTGGCCCTGCTCCCGTGGAAACTGTGCTGATCAGAATAATAATGGCCCTTTCTTGGAGGGGAGGGTGTTTGGAGGAGGTGAGCAGAGCTGGATCTGGCATGAGAAGTTGGGCTGCAGTGTTCCCTTCTAAAAGGTCATCTGGAGGGGCCCACGTGATCATTCCCTGCCCAGATCTAGCATTAGAAAGAAGCAGTTGTAGGAATACGGAAGTCCCTGCCCCTGCCCAGTCCCCTTAAACAAGTGGGGACTTGGAACTGTCAGAGCTGGAACAGAGCAAAGCCGGCCACAGCAGGCACATGGCAGAGGGGTCCACGTGCCCAGGAAAGTAAAAAAGCGGGTCAGCCAGCCACATCCGGTCGCGGAAGGGAGCATGCTAGCTTCAGCCTGGCCCGGGGGCCACACGGGAGCAGTGCCCGGGCCCAGACTGATCCAAAGCATCTCTTTGCCTGGAGGCCTTGATGGAGGCCAGATGCGGGCTTTTCAAAGCAGAAGTCGTGTACACTGTGGACGGGGCAAGTGACAGAAGTGCTGGGTAGCCCATAACCACTTCATGGAAAGGGGATTCTTGGGGCTGGAAGGGACCCCAGAATGCATCCCATCCCATCTGCAATGTGGAGATTTGAATCCCATCATGGCACCTAGACAAGGCATGGGCTGCAGTTCGATGGAACTGGGTTTCCCCGTGGAGGAGATGCCGGCTTGCTGCTCAATCTCTCTGAGCCTTGATTTCTTCGTCTGTAAAATGGGACTAACGATGCCCATTCTGCAGAGAATAATTGTAAGGTTAGAGATTGTGCACATCACGTATCTGGCCCAAAGGAGATACTTAACTGGGAATTATTATTACTGAGCCAGGCAAGTTCAGATTTTACATAAAATCTCTGAGAAGCAAATGCAACAGATTTTACCTCTTAATTATCTGAATTGTGAAATTTTAAATTGTCCCAAATAGTTTTACTCTGTGAAATCTGCAGAACCTGCAAATAATCATTTTGATCTTGCTGGATGGTTTGATGATATATGACTCTTAATAAATCCTCCTGGGAGAGCTAAAATGCTCAGACCGAATTTAGCAATGTATAGAAGACTAGACATTCTGGAAAAGTAATTTGGCATCCCATAGCAACAATGTGTTGGTATTCAGCTGTTTCATTGTTATTATTAGGTGTGAATTCTAAACTCGGGGGGTTTTGTTCCCTTAAATTCATCACTTCCCAAAGTAGATTTCTTAAAAGTACAGATTTCTCAAATGCCAACAGCTCCATTTCCCCATTCGGGCTCCCAAGGACAGGAGCAAAACCATGTCGGCATTACCCCCTTGGAGTCGGAGGGCAAGGGTGGATAGTGGTGCTGGAAATGGGACGCCTAATAGAAGGGCCTCAGAATGGATTCATTAAGGATCTATTCGAAAAGGGGGTCATTGCAGTGGGGTATCTCATCCCACCAGCTTCCTCCTCCCTCCTCTCCTGGGCTCGTCCTCACAACCTCAGCCCAAAGAAGCCTTCAGGAAAATCACTGAAGTTGGCAGCCCAGAGTCACAGCCCAAGCTCAGTCCTCTTCATACCTGGGGTCTCACCTGGGCAGCCCTCCAAGCTGAGAGCCACCGCTGCCTTCCATCTTGCTGACCTCCATGCCCTCCCCCCGCCAGGTAGAATACAGGTGCTAGACCGCAGTCTGAGCACAGATGCTGGATTTTCCTCTACCACTGACTTGCTGTGTGATGTTGGGCAACCCCCTCCCCTGTCTGGGCCTCGATTTCCTCATTTGACAGTGGGTGGGTAATTTATAATCTCTAAGTTCTCTCTCAGCTCTGTGGCCTTTTCTACCTTATATTAATGCTGGGTAACATCCAAATATGGCCAGGGGTGCTGGACACACTTGGGAGAAAAGAATAAATTGCTTGATTTGGGAGAATTCTGTTTACACAGAGGAGGGCTTTTACTATCTCACAGCCTGGCCTTAGCACCACTGAATGGAGCTGTTCGATGGATACCTGGAGGACTCTCAGAACTGTGCCCCTTTGACACAGGAACTGCCTCTTCCCTCACCTTCTTCCAAAGAATGAGGGTCACTTTAGGGTACCCTGACTACTCCTATAGCCAGGGGCCACCAGAATCCCAACCCTGGGAAGAAGCTTTTCCCACCAGCAGATTCTTTCCTGATGCAAGACATACTTTGAGCTTTGATGAATATTTGCAAAATTAATCTCAGCCCTTCCTCCCAGGCAAGCTCCCGTGGACGGCGGAGCTAGCATCTGAAGCCAAGAATCAGTCTGTCCTAGTTACAATGATCATAGACGTGACCTTATTCAACTCCCCCTTTTTCGTAGAAAACACTCAGGCCCCAAGAAGGGAAACAACTTGCCCAGGGTCACACAGCAGGTCAGCTGCACAGCCGGAGCAAATGGCCAGGGTGCAATTAGCTATTGGTGCAATTCTTAGATCAGCTTGGGTGCCTGGGTTCAAACCCCTGCCTTTACAGTTTACTGGCAAACTACCAGTACTTAACCTCCTTGGACGTCTACTTCCTCACATGTAAAATGGAGATGTCTAATCTCCCAGGGTTCCACGAAATCACGTGTAAAGTGCGTCCTTAGCCCAGTACCTGGACTAAAAGAAGCGCCTGGAGAACGGCCACCATAGTTATGGTTGTAAATTGCTGTTGTCATTGTCGCAGGAGGAGGAAGCCTCAGAGAAACGTGAAGCGTGGCCGGGAAGCTGGGGTCAGGGGCTCAGGCTGGAGCCTGGGATGCGCCCAGCTGCGCTCTGGTAACGAACGCCCTCCCCGTCTCTGTCCGCAGGCTGGTGGAGTTGTCCTCCGCGGTGCCCATCAGCTCCCACTGGGGGGTGCTGTCCAAGTGCTTGGCCTACAGCAAGGCCGCATCTGACCCGTTCGTGTACTCCTTGCTGCGACACCAGTACCGCAAGAGCTGCAAGGAGATTCTGAACAGGGTCCTCCACAGGCGTTCCCTCCGCTCCTCCGGCCTCACCGGGGACTCCCACAGCCAGAACATTCTTCCGGCCTCTGAGTGAAGGACGCTGCTGCTGCTGGAGAGCTTGGAATGAGACGGCTGGTGAGAAGAGGGGGCGGGAGGGCTTGGGGCGCCTGGGCGGACTCCACCGGCCGCCACCATCCGGCGAGCCCAGGGATTCCGTTTCCCTGGCTTCGGGTGGGGGGGGGGCTCCGAAGCCTGCTTCCTGGTTCCTCGAGGGCAGATGTTGAACTGTCCCTGTTTATCACCAAAGGATGACCAAGGGACATGCTGTGCGCTGGCTTTTCTCTTGGAGAAGCTCCTTTGAGCTCCTAGAGTCACAAGAGACTCCCCAGGAGTCACACCCCATCCGGTCATGACCAAGGACACACAGTGCTGGTGGCAGGTGGGGAAGCATGGCGTCCACCTGCTCACTAAGCCCTGGACGCTGGGCTCCATGCTGAAGAAAAGCGGTGACCCCCATGGGGCATCAGTCACGTTGAGAGTGAGGCTGGCAGTGGCCGTTTAGCCCCACATCTGGCATGGCCACCCTTCTCCACATGTAGTGATGGCTGCTTTAATCCAAATATCGTTCAGCTGGAACTCACTGACTTGTGCTCGGCTGGGACCCTTGGGCCCCCATGTCCAAGGGGAAAATGTTTGCCGACTAGTGTTGCCCAACTGTTGCTGACAAGTTGTCTTAGAAATGGCTATATTGGATTCAACTTTTATCCCTCTCTTCCCTCCACCTCTGCCCCAAAGCTAACATTTGTGTGTGTAGACAATCTTAGCATGAAACTGGTTTAAATAAGCAGTTATTACTACATGTAATAATGTTCTTTGAAGTCTGACCCGAAGTCACCTTCTTCTGATTCACATGTCATAACTGTTGGAGCGAAGTAGAGGCAGGAGGACAGTGTCTGGCAGGTCCCCCACGCCGGTTTGTGACCTGAATTTGCAGGAAGCGTTTCACCTTGTCTCACACATCTTGTCCAGCGTGTTCTCTTAGGTGATTGGACAAGAACTGACCTGAGCAGGGTTTTAGCCTTGATTTTAAGGCACTGGGTTCCATTATCCTAAGGGTTCAATATCCTAGTTTCTGTAAGTCATCAACAGACAGTAGAGGCTTCCCAAGGTGATCCAGAAAGTGCCCTGTGCCCATAATGGGAGAGTGAAATTTTTATTGAAAACCGTAACTCTAAAACATATGCCAATCCACTAGCAGCCCCCATCTTGATTTAATAAAAACCAAGGTGAGTGGACCTTGAACTAAATTAAATGCTTTCTGCCCATCCATCTTTTTATTTTTATTTTTTTTACCATTTCAAATATTGTGTGAATGCTAAGAGCAGTTCTTTCTCTATCCTCCACTCTATGTGATTCCTCCAGGGTGGAAAGGATGGGAGCACAAGGCTTAGAGGGCTCATTCTCTCCTTCCTGCTCTGCAAATCCTAACTTTGGAAACATAGAAGGGAGGACCCATTTCAATAGGGACCAACCAGGAAGAGCCTGAAGCTTTTCACTGCCAGGTGGCCCCAGTATTGAAAAACGAAGTGTGTGCATGTTTGAAAAGATGGCATCTTATTAACTTTAGCTCCTCATTTAGAAAACAAATCACTGAGCCTGGCCTACTCTTGTCTAGTTTCTAAGTTTGCATGGAGACAGACATAGCCTTTGAAGCCTTGCCACCTTCCCGTTGCAGCTGGAGGTGTGCTCACACCTGCTTGGAGGAGCCAATGGCACACACCCCTTCCCAATTCTGTGTTCTGGGACATAAGCTTGGTAGCTTGAAATCAGCTGTGATGGGCATATTTATACCAAGAAAGTCAGTAAAGGCTACAAATCGGGCCTTTTTCTCCACTGAGAGCTCATTGCTAAACACCTACCAGCACGTCACTGCCCAGACAGGACTTTGTGTGTTACTGAAACAAAACTGCTCGGATTCAGAGCACATTTGGCCACTCAAGTTTGAATCACAACAGACATTCTTTTCTGTGGCTCTTTCCTAGTGTCAGGCAGCTGTTCACCCTTCATTGTCCCAACATCAAAAGAACCAATGAGGTCGAGGACAAGCACAGAGCCAGGAAAATAAGCACAATTGAGTCTGACCATCTCCCTTTCACGCAAACACTCCTTGGGCAGCAGAGGCGTAGTGGCCCAGTGGATGAGGTCAATTGACAGTCAAGTTCAAACAAACAAATACGTTTTCATCAATGTCAGGTTGGAGGAATAACTGTCATCTCCTCTTCCTGCTCCCTCTGTGGAGGCAACAAGTTGTACTCCCGGAAGCAACTCTATCCCTTTCACCTCTTCTTTAGTGAAAAAATAAGATCTGTTACCTACAGTGCCACGTGTCTTGAAAAGATGCATTTCATAAATTACACTGAACCTTAGGACTGCCAAAAAAACAATAAAACCAGTTGTATTGGCATCATGGTGACAACGCCCCAGATATGCCAGTCGGCTGGGTATTTTCATTATTATTTGAACACAGGCTTCAAAACCCTAGGAGAAGTGAGAAGAAAATCGCTGGGTTGGCCATCGGCGTCAACCAACTCTGCTAGAATTACCTTTAGCTAAATGTTTATATTACAGTCCATAAAATTCTCCCCAGCTTCTTTATTCCCAAGAGAATTATCTACCTCATTTGGTAATTTATCAAACGTAACATGGTAATGTGGATTTCTCAGGTAGAACGCTTAGAAATGTCCAGATCAGCATCTATGTCAAGGGCCTGGGATAACTTCCTTGACGTCAGTCTAGAATAAGGCTTGATGTTAAAGGCCCGAACTTGGGTAGACAGCTGGGCTCGGTGTGAGAGCAATTTAAGAAGATGGAAAATAAAGCCTCAATGGAGAGGCTCTCAAATTCCTAAACCCACATCCGGGGCTCAGTTTCTAGCCCTACCTGATCTGAACTTGTAGGTTTCAACCCCATCTGTGATGGCTTTTGCAGTCACTCTGCAACTCGAGCTTTTCTTTATGCTGCTCCTTAGAGGAGATTTCAGGGCCCTGGGAGCCACTGAGGGAAAAGTGTTGTGGCATTTGGGGTTTGTGTGTCTCATGGTCCGCTGACCTCCCAAAGATGCTTCCCTAAGAGCCTGCCTATTTCTACTATGAAGTTGCCTTGACTCATCTCACACCAACTGTACATTCCATCTAGGACTCAGCTCAGACTTCTGCCGCCGTGAGCAATAAACCTCTCTCCTCATGTTTGTGAAGCTAGTTTTCTTTTTCAGGATGCCCTTCTTTCTGAGAGAAGATGGAAAGAACAGGCCAAGTCCAGGTCCTGGTTGCTGTCCTTTTGCATACTTTAGTGCAGGTAGATGATGCCTTTGCAGGGCTGCAGTGGGACCCTCGGGGGGACCGCAGGCTGTGCATTTTTAGAATTTACCCAAATTCAGCATCGACTAATTTGCCTGTGATTTCAACGAGGTTATTTTATCAGGTGCCAGAAATTCCTCACATCTGCTCGTATCCTTTGGAGCACTTGCACCACAGGCGAGAGAGAAGTCCTGGATGTATTTGAGGCTCCCACTACCTTTCTGGAAGGTCCACAGCGTCTGCAATGAAACCACTGGCTCCTGAACTTTACTATCCACAAGAATCACCAAGATACGTCGTTTAAAATTCAGATTCCTGAGCTCCTTCCCTGGAGATCTGTCTAAGGAGGTCTGGCAAGGTCTAGGATTCTGCATTTTCAGACATCAGGGCCCAGGTGACTGTGGCAGGTGGACTTCAAAGTGTCCTCCCTGAGGAAAAATGATCTTAGACACCTGGATAAGCTCTATGGAAAACTGGCTCTTTCTAAATATCTAGGTTTCAGTCGTCTTCTATGGTTCCCTAACATGCCAAACAGTTCAAGCTCCAGCTTACTCAAGGGCTGAGTCATTTTGTCCCCAGAGGGACAAAATTGATCACGCCATGAAATTTTTAAAACCTGTTTTCACGAGACTCTGGTGGAAGGGGAGCAGCTGCCCACTCTACCTCCGAAGGCCTTTGCAAAACAGCCTCCTTCCTCTCTGTGGGGCTCCCGGCTGGTAAGCACGAGATGTGTTGGGTGTTGGCAGGGTGGCAGCACTCACTGGCTCAGACACTGTGTTAGAGAAAAGGGAGCCTGGCGCTCAGAGGGCCCCGGAGGGATGCTTGCTTGCGTCCTGACACAGACTCTGTCCGGGCAGCCTGGCTGGGGGAGTCGATGGCTTCTAGCCCCTTTGCTACTAACCAGAGCCCTCACCCCTGCCCCCCTTCCAACCAGCTTCAGACCCAGGGGGCCGAGCCAGCCGAGGCAGGGCCAGAGAGAGACAGTGCTGGATGCCCACCCTTGGGTGTGGGTCTTTTGTTGGTTCCCCGCTTCATCCAGCATGGCTGACCCTGCTGGGTCCCCCACGAGCAGCTCGTAATAATGACAACCTAAGAGCCGGTGTGTCCTGAGTGAAGACTAGACACCAGACAGCACGCTGAGAGTTTGGGGGTAGCGTTTCCACGAATCCTCATAATAATCCTACGATGTCAGTACTATTACTCTCTCCTTTTTACAGATCGGGCAAAATCTGTAGGTCCTCGGGCAGCATGTAGAGAAATTTGAGGGGCAACACAAAATAGGTCTCCAGAAGGGTGGGCTGGTACTGACGGGAAGTCCCCAGCTTCACCCAACTCTGGGCAGTTCAAGGAGGAGCAGGCGACTTTCCATCAGCAGCAGAGAACCCTGTGCTCTCAGCTCCTGAGCTGACACCCACACCGGCCAGCTGGGCCTTGGGCCCCTCTGGTCACGGCCACCCCTGGTCTTCTCTTTCTCTGCATGTGCTTCTTGGGGTGTTCGAGGGTAAGATGCTCGGCAGCAACCTCTGTACCAGAATTTATGGTCCACAAGTCCTTTTCAGCTACAGAGAATCTAACTGACTAAACGTTGTAGGTGTTTGCGGACTTATTGTCCGAAGAATTTTCCCGAAAGTCTGGGCCAGTAGCCTTCACGGGCATTAGTACAACACAGCAGTGCCTGGCACTGAAGCTGACCTTTCCCCTTCACACAGATGCCGAGAGGTTAACATGGAGAAGCCCGTGCTGACCTGGTGGCTATAGTGGGGAGAGCGTGGGGAGAGGGTGGGAGAGGCTGTCGCAGTACCCACCTGTCACTCCTCTGACATTTACGGAGCGCTTCTGTGTGCCAGGCCCTGGGCTGTGTCAGACTCCAGGGGAGACCAGAGATTACAGTGTGGAGGGCGGAGCTGCCCTGGAGCAGTGTGCACAGTGTCGGGGGTGCAGGAGGAGGGCTGATGCACTTGGGTGGGGGAGGAGCGTTCTGGAAGGTTTCCTAGAGGTGGTAGCATTGGGCCTGAACCTGCAGTAGGGAAGCGCCTATGACGAGACATTAAGGAGGTGTGAACAACGTGCCCAGTGGGGAGTCTAATGGGGCGGGAGCTTAGCGTGTGTCTGGAAATAGGATACGTTGGGCACCTAGGAGGTGACATGACTCCTGAGACAGAGTGGATGTGATCTGTGGTCCTGGGGAGAGCACCGAGGTCTTGAACTTGGGAGTTTCAAAATTAGAGCTCTTTTAGAAAGAGAAAATATGGGGGAAATCCACATATATTTAGCTATTGACAAAGAGAGGGAAGAAAGAAAAGAAAGAAGACAGAAGGAAAGGAGGAAGGAAGGGAGGGAGGGTGGGAGAGAGGCACTAAAAGCATTGCATTTAATTTGTGGGGCGTCTACATTATACAGTGGGCGGGAAGGGGGCATGATTCACTCTTAAGAAACCAACCTCATTCGGCCAGGGCATATCCCCTGATAATACACCCGAGTGGGAATAAAGGTATGTCTTCAGTGGGGAGTGTACACATTCCATAGTAACACAGGGTCCTCATGGGCATGGCCCATACCCCGGAGACAACTGGAAGAACCCACAGCAGAAACAACCATGTGCTTGCAAATGTTATCCTTGTCCCAAGTAACAGTTCAGCCTCCCCCGCTTCACACCCATCTCCAGGGCTTGTACAGCTTACTCGTGCAGTGCGTCATGTAAAAATGCATCGAGCATTGAGGGTCCAACGTTATGCACCTACTCAGTCGTAGCAGTGCGATAGTTTATCACGTATACCCACATTTAAGGACTTTTAAAATAGTTTAGGTTGTTGACTCCAAAGACTGTGTGTGCCCCTTGTGGAATGCGTGTGCTCTTAGGAGCGCTGACTCAGGGTGTTTCCTGTGGCCTTTCTCTTGCAGTCCTGATGATTCTATAGTCAGTATCTTAATTACTCCCTGGCGTGCAAGACTGGTTGCACGTGTTAAATAGAACCTAAAGTTCACGTTTTGAAGAGTCTGAAACCTGTATTTGGAGACAGGAATCCCACTGTGAATTTTGAGAGTCAGGTTAGAGTCATCGAAGCCCCGGCAATACCCCAGACTACTCGTAGGCAATGTGTTTGGGGAGTGTCAGACACCATCGCAATGGCACACAACTGATTGGTTGACCTGAGCCGGTCAATTTCCCAATGACCAGATCGGAGAGACAGCTCCTGCCTGGCAAAAATACCAAACACCCAGCCCCCAAGGGCTCTGTCCACCATGGCCCGGCGTTCAAGCCATTTAATACCAAATCTTTGCTTGAATTATTAGTAACCAAGCCCCATGGTGTATTTGAATGCCAAGTCCCCTTGTAAGGTGAAATCATTCCAAACCTCAACAATCCTGTTTTATAGCAAGTTTGTAAACATAACCTCTTCTGGAACATTTGAGGGACATTTAAGGAGTACGGTGTCTCACCAACCCCATCAGGATTTCCCCAGGGGGAACCTTGAAAGTCCAGTGACAAATAAAGGAGGTGTCTTGCCTTACCCTCCTTACCACATGGGACATTTTTATAAACACAGGGACAGGCTAGTCTTTATATTCTTAGGCTATAGCTCGGGAGAAGGAGTTCAAACCTTTGCCATTTGGATGTGCACGTCCATTGTAGTGAGGCAGCTCCTCGGAAGACATAAATCTGTCCCTCTGCTATGGTGTTGTGTTGAGCGGATGCCAGCAGACAATTTCAGCCACCCTTATCCATCCTCCCTAATGGAGCACAGCCATCTCCCACACAGAGCTTCATCCGGCCCTGTGTCCAATGGGAGAACCACCACCTCCCTCACGCGAGACCGGTTAGATGCTACCCTTTGAACGCCAGAAGCTCCAAGTAATGAGTGCACCCAAGTTTAATTCTTTGCATTCCTTCAGTTTTCACAGATTTCATTATTTGGGGGGTTTGTGCAAAGTGGGCTGCGGGGACTTACTTGCACTGTCCATAGCTTGGACATCCAGAGCACAGAAGGGAGTCTGCACTAAGGAAACCTAAGGCATGTGCCAGCTAGTTCAGCATTCCACATGGAAATGTACTTTATATTTGGATACTTCAAAAATACTTTTGGAAGCCAAGATTTAGAAAACCTAAAGCTATTTCATTCCCGGGGGACAGAGGGATCTGCAAATGCCTGGCTCCTGTACAATGTTCTGTTCCTAAAGTCAGACCTATAGGAAAATGGGTGGGACATCTGTGACTTTATGTTGGAGCAAATGCACCTGCCACCGTGTGCCCCCGTGACTCTGCTTCCCTCTGTGTGCCCTTGTGGGCGAATGTTCACCAAGAGCTGCATACTAAGCGTAAAACAAATGAAGCAAAATGTTACCATCCTCTAGTGTTTGTTTACATGGTAGTTTTTACTTTATTTTCTCCTAATTTATTAAACAGAAGTACAGCTCTGTTAAAACACACACACACACACACACACACACACACACACACACATTACCAGAAGCCCTCCCCATGTGGCACTGTTACCTTTCGTGCGATACATTTGTGCACAGCTGTTTACTATTGCGATGGGACTCAGGACTGATGAATCCAAGGCCAATGTCGCCTGCTCTGTTTACAATGGCTTGTGTTTAGTGACTACATAGCAAATGTTGTAATAAATTTTTATGAGAGAATTATAAAATTCCTGTTATAAAATCTCATCCACACTTTGTTGACCTGGTGTGAAAAAATTTTTATTAGGCACAAGTTAATTGTTGGAAATGGTGGTTTTATAATTTCATGGTGGGACGTAAGTTTACATTTCTTTTTATCTTTCTATATATCTTCCTATTTTGTACCTCCTTTTCTCTCCTGCTCCCACTGCCCCAGACACCCCTGACTGTCACACAGCCTCCTAGGGTTAGGTGTTCATCCTTTGGGACCATTTCTTTACTACCCAGGCCCCCCAGCAGTCACCCCTCCCATACACACCTGCCCAGGGACTGACTGGCATGGCCCCCACCCTCCTAAATACCAGGCAACCTTTGCCACTTTTGACCCAGTTCCTTAGGCTTTGCTAGATGACTAATTGCTGCTCAAATCCCAGAGAGAGAGCAGGAAGGGCCTCAGAAGGGAAGAAGTCCCATATTCCTTGACTGCTGCAGTGTGTTGGGCCCTGTGCTAGGGACCTGCCACACACTGCATGTGCGTGTCCCCCCAAAATTCATTTGTTGAGACCTAATCCCCAGTCTGATGATGTTAGGAGGTCATGAGGGTGGAGCCCTCATGAATGGGATTAGTGCCTTTATGAAAGAGGCCCTGGGAGCTCCCTTGTCCCTCAGGCACTGAGGGACACAGCGAGAAGACAGTGTCTCTGAACCAGAGAAGCAGGCTCTCACTAGACACTGAATCTGCAGGTGCCTTGATCTTGGACTTCCCAGCCTCCAGAACTATGAGAAATAAAGTTCTGTCATTTGTAAGCCAACCAGTCTATGGTACTTTTGTTATAGCAGCCCGAATGGACTCAGCCACAGTTCCTCATTGAAGAGTTCCAGAGGTGGCACTCTCATTTAGCAGCAGCAGAGACTGAGCTCAGAGAGGTTAAGTATCCAGCCCAGGATCACACAGCTAGTAAGTGGGGCATGGAGGTTTGAACCAGGTGGCCGATGTTAAACTCCTGTTTTCACTAAATCCATGAAGATGTCTCCAAAACGTAGGGATGATTCAGCAAAACCTCTCTTTTTACAGTTGGGGAAACTGAGGCATGGAGGAAGAAATTACTTCCCAACATCAGACATTAGACCTCAAGTGTCCTATGATCTTAGGCAAGCAGCACAGAAACTCACATTTAGAAACTCTCAATCAAAGTTCCAACATTACCTTTGTCCTGGGGTCCACTGTGCCCCAGCTGCTGCTTCTTTAGAATGTAACCTCCTACCTAACCAAAGAATTAACTTGTAAAATTAATATCTTCATTCAAGCAATGTCTAAGAGCCAGAGCCCATGTGATGAAATACCAGCTTGGCACTAATTTACTGTGTGACCTAGAACAGATGACTTAACCTCTCTGTGCCTCTGTTTCTTCATACGTAAACTAGTGATAACAGTAATACCTGTCTTGCAGTCCTGTGGAGTCATCGTGTTCTAAGTGCTTAGAATGGTACCTGACACAGGATTAACAGTTCAGTCAACATTGGAGGCTAATATTGGACTTATCTTTCCAGATATCATCCTGTCCCTGTGAAAGGGGATCTTGGACTCACCTGGGAGGAATTCCTAGGAAAGGCAGGCATGAGGGAGACATCGTGGGTGAGGGGGCTAGGCCAGGGCCCCTTTATCTTACCCCACTCCCCCACACCCCCCGTGCCCACAACACTGCAGCCTTATCCATTTCTGAGCAGATTTGCACGGCAGTCTCAAGCTTGACACTCAGTCCAGGGATTTTAGCAGGAAGACCCAGACATGATGCAGCAGGTGCTGTGTGGTGCTTGGCCTCCCCAACAGCCCCTCAGGACCCACAGTCCCTGTCCCCACCTCACTGGGCCTACTGAGGCCTCGAGAATGACCGTGATGCATGACGCATCACTGCCCTGCGTGTGCCTGAGGTGGGCTCTGGAGACATCCTCTTGAGTGGGGTCCAGGCCACTGCTCTGATCGGGCTGAGCTGACACCCAGCTGCGTGGAGGAGGGCTGGAGTGCCCTCAGGGGAGTTGCGTGTGGGTCACAGCCCAGCCCCAGGAGAACAGGGAAGAAAGCGGAGGCTGTACCTGGGAATGGGATGCCCAGGCCAACAGGGGCTCCCTTTGCTACAAGGGGACATCTCCAGGGTCAGCCCCAGGAGAAAAGACCCTCATGAAGCCTAAGGGTATGAAGAGTCAGTCTCCTGAGCGCCCACTGTGTTCCAGATGCCCCACTAAATACTTCCAAAGCATCACCTCATTCAATCCCCCAATACTCCTGTGAGGCTCGTATTATTCTTACCCGCATCTTACAGCTGAGGAACTGCGATGGTTAATTTCATGTGCCAACTTGACTGGATCACGGGATGCCAGATATTTGGCTAAACATTATTTGTTTTTTTTTTTTTGCGGTACGCGGGCCTCTCACTGTTGTGGCCTCTCCCGTTGCGGAGCACAGGCTCCGGACGCGCAGGCTCAGCGGCCACGGCTCACGGGCCCAGCCGCTCCGCGGCATGTGGGATCTTCCTGGACCGGGGCACGAACCCGTGTCCCCTGCATCGGCATGCGGACTCTCAACCACTGCGCCACCAGGGAAGCCCTAAACATTATTTCTGGGTGTGTCTGTGAGAGTGTTTCTGGATGAAATTAACATTTGAAT